AGTCCGTGATGGACCTCAGAGGGACTGAAGAGGTGGAAGAAGCACCAAAACACCTGGTGGAAGCGGTCACCGATTCAGACCACGCAGGAAACAAAAACGACCGAAAGTCAACGACGTCCACGCAGATCTTCATCGACGGCAACCTCATTGACAGCAAGGTCAGAAGCCAGAAAGCCATCGCTCTCTCATCAGGAGAAAGCGAATTCATGGCATTGGTGGCAGGCTGCTCAGAAGGCATGCTGGTGAGGCACCTGTGGAAGATGATAACAGGAGAAGAGTGCCAAATGAAAGCAAGGTCGGACAGCTCAGCAGCCAGAGGGATGACCCAGCGGCAAGGCATCGGCCGAGTCAGGCACAGGGACGCTTCAATGCTGTGGATACAGCAGAAAGAGCGGGAGAAAGTCCTGACAGTGGCAGCAATCCCAATAGACCTCAACAGCGCCGACATTGGCGCCAAGAACCTACCAAAGAAGAGGTTGAGAGGTCTGCAATACATGCTGCGCATGGTCGACGCTGTGGGTGACAGAGTGGGTGAGCAGGAGTTCCTGGAGATTGAGGAGCAGCACAAGATGAAACAAAAAATGAAGAAATTTGGGAAAAGCAAAGATCTACGGATCGGGCTTTTGATGCGGCTAGCCGCAATCAACAAAGTGGGAAGCACCCCAACTGAAGCGAAGGAGAATGAGGAGACCAGTTGGGTGTGGATGATGATGTGCACTTTGGCGTGCATTGGGGCCTTGAGCCTGACCAGATGGCTCTGGAACTACGTCCATGACTTCATAGATGGCACGAAGGCCTTCATCCGGGAGATCAAGAAGGCCATGGCATGGGTCAATTGGATTGACCTGAATTTGAAAGTGGAAAGGGTCGATCAAGAGACCCAAGTGTCAGTGCCAAACGCTCGACTTGAGCGTGAGCTTGAGCAAGCTGCGCACGAGCTCTTCTTGAGGGAGACATACATAGAAGAACTCGAGCAGGAGATCGAGAAGATGAAGGAAAGCCTGACCGAGTTCCTTCAAGAAAGAGAGCTGGCAGAGAAGCGAAGTTCGAGACTTGAAGAGCAGCTGCACAAGCTACGAATGACACCTTCAGGACGAGTTCTGCATTTTGCAGCAAGTTGCCCTTACTTCACGGCTGGGCAACCGATCAGGATTTGTACAGGGTGCTTAAGTGAAGGAGGAGTGACAGAATGCACTTCATGACCGTACAGTCACTTAAGCACGTAGGCAATGCTATGTACGATGGCCATTTAAGGCCCAAGCCGCATTAGCGAAAAGGTCTGCGCACGCGCTTTTCAGATATCCCAAATATGTCTACTCACGCATTCCGTTAAAGTAGATTGCTGATTACTTCATTGGCTGCCTACTTACAGACATCCTTGTCACCCAAGTAGAAATTGGACCATGCATTGCCCTGGCACACAAAGACATGCAGGATGAGGTTGAAGAAACGTGGAGGAGCAATTGAACTTTGGGATCGAACCAAGTCAACAATATGTAGAGCTCACATTGGCAAGGAGTCTTTCAGACTAGACAATTAGTTCTATGTGTCGCCTTTTTTGCAGGAACCTTCGCATCGCTCGTGGCGTCCCCAAAAGAGCAGATGCTCCGAAGCCTGTAGCGCAGAACATCGGAAACACTGATGCTGATGCTGCTCGGATGAGCAACGTGAGAGTCAGAATATCACAGCCAAACATGACAATACAAACAACTACCCACTCGTAACACTGGCATTCCAGGTGCAGGTAATGTTCAATCCAAAGATTGACTCAGTCCAAAATAGAATACGAAATCCAATATTCAGTCTTGTGGAGAGCAATGTGAGGTTTATGTGTTTAATGACTGTTCATGTTGTGCCTAAACACTGCAGAGGTTGCACGCATGCTGAAAGAGCGTGGTCGTTTGATTGATGCACCAGATGATGGCTTTGACTCAAACTTCTTGAGTCGTCGCTTGGCTTGAAGATGAGGGCCTTGGTTGAATGGTTTTTGCTTTGCCGTGATGTTTCTCCAAAGGGTTAACTGGCAAACTTCAGCTTCGAAGTCTGGATGGAGGCATTACTGCGAAGAAGACAGACGTTACCTACTGCGGTGTTGCAGCTTGGCATAGTCTTTTGCACTTTTTCCACCATCATTCCGGGCATGCTCAGGACAACCTTCAGTCTGCACGTCGTCCAGCTCGAAGGGTGGCTTGGTATGCAGTGAAAAGAACCCCGTGTGAGTGTGTGTGTGTGTGTGCGTGGATCTGATCTCACAGTACTGCAACGGGTGTGGAACATGCTTTCACACTGACGCTGGGTTTGTCATGCTGTTTCGCAAGAGGCGACAAAACCATTAAACTCCTTGCAACAGCGGATACTTAACCATCAAGCACCTTGCAACAGAGGATCCTGACTACCTCGCCAAAGCTTTTTTACTATAATCATCTATGAAGCACTGGAACAGTGCAGAAACACAAGAATACATGTCAACGGAGACTTGGCTTCTGATTTGCCTGCAGGTGATCAGAGACCCAGATGACGACATCCCAGAAGAGGCGTTGAACGTTGGATTTGGGATGTGCTGCCGATTTAACATCACAGAATTTGTCCTTGTGTGATCTCGTGTGTATATCGTTTGTACACCGTATGCTGCTGCTGCTGCTGCTGCTGCCGCTGCTGCTGCCGCTGCCGCTGCCGCTGCCGCTGCCGCTGCCGCTGCCGCTGCCGCTGCTGCTGCTCCTGCTGCTCCTGCTGCTCCTGCTGCTCCTGCTACTCCTGCTACTCCTGCTACTCCTACTACTACTACTACTACTACTACTCAATAATCCAATCTGTGGATACCGATTTGTGCTGAGAGGGCATCAAGCTGTGGACAACAACTGGACGTCTTCGCACTGGAATACGGCAGCCCCCACAAAGGGCTTTGCCCCGGAGTAGCCTGGCTTGGCATTTTCCAAGTGGGAGTCGAGTATGTCTGGTTATCTTCACCGAACGTTGGTGTTTGAGGCTTCGTCCCTTTGCCGCCACAGCACTTGTGGGAGAGGGCGCCAGTTACTCGCTCTGAAGCTGCTTGGCTGGCACTCGCTGGCACTTTCTGCATGTACTGAATTTCTATTGATTGTGTTTTTGTTATATTGACAAGGCATTTTTCTGAAAGGGTCCAGACGAAAGATCAGGTCACAGAGATGAAGATCATTGCGGCTGCACAGCAGCCGCCGGTGACTGACTGGGCTCAGGACTGCACATATAATATATACTAAGTCTTTAAATCTCAAGAGGTTGTGAAGGATGCTAGCATGAAGCATCCTCCTTGCGCCCGCTAGTTGTGGACAGTGACATACTCAACTTTCCTGGAACTTTCCCCACTTCTTGAACCCCTAATATTCCTTCCCAGTCTTCGACAGACAGAGCTGCGCAGAGGATTGAAATTTTGTATTGAGAGTCGTCATTCGTTTCTTGAGCGATCAACTTTGCTCGGCCCATCATGTAAGGTCTAAATGTCCGAATGCCGTCAGAGGACCTGATCCTGGAATCTGCCGAAGCCAACAAGGCCATATGTCCATTGCAACCGAAACTGTGGCAAGTTGAAGCACATTCATCCGGTCTCGTCCACTCTGATAGAAAACGACATTCACTTCAATGTGTTTGCTTGCAAAGCTAGACAAAACCTGAAGGCACGGCGGCAAAAGTTGCCCGCGGTTCCAGCTACCCCTAGGTGGGTGAAGGGCATACGCTGTCACTGCTCCATACTTCATCGCCTATAGTCACTACAGTAGTCAGAACTTGACCCTCGCAGGTCTGGAAGTAGCCTGACGACCTCGGCGCCTTGGCATTCCGAGCAAGATCAGCAGATAGATCAGAAAGTTCAAACACGTGCTAAGGAATTTTGTTTTTTTAGTCTTGGCAATGTGACTTTGTTTAAAACTTGCTTCATTCCCTGTAAGACAATGAAGAGTGTTTCAAGAGGACAAGGTTCTGCATTGTTTAGACATGCGCAGGTGCTTTGCCAGTGGAACCTGTGTTCAACAATGGTCAACTAGGTTAAAAACACAGTACATCAACGACAACAGAGCGATAAGATCCAGGACCTAAAGGTTCTCCGCCTGGAACGTGAATTGTGCAGAAAAAGAATGCTCCAATGTCCGCCTGACATGGAATGTTGCTAACGCCTGCCACAACATACATGGCAGAACTGGCTCATCATCGCGCTTCAGAAAGACAAGGCAACGCCATGCATGAAACACTGCAAAACGAGGAAACAACCTCCGATAGAGTGTTGCGAAAAACCGCAGAAAAGCACAAAATACGGACCTAGTTTGATACCTAATTTGATCAGATTTGCCATGTTCCAAGGAATCTGCTTCTTCAGCAGCTCAGTTCTCCAGAGTGAGCTTTGCTCTCCCAAAAGGCAGCAACTTTTGAGACGGTCAGGAGCGCTGACGGGGGACACAACCAGTGATGGTCCCAGCACGCTGAGGCTGTTTATGCAAGGATGTTTAAGGTGTCCAATGTGTCCAGACCCATTGTTGTTTTTTTTTTTTTTTCGCAACTTGTTCTGTGCTTAATCATGCGATCAGGCCAATAGTTCATAACTGTCGCAAGCTGGTACTGGCGAAGCCACACCATGAAAAATCCATTGCTTCAGGTTGCACCGAGCAAGAAGAACTGATAGTCATAGTATGTCAAAGTATCATCCTCGGCATTGGTGCAACCTGGAATGGAGTGTGTATAAAGGACACGTACTGCTGAAACCTGGCAGTCAAGATCCGGAATCTTGTGAAGTGAAGGGGTCAAAGGCAGAAGCGGGCGATATCTAGAGGGTAGAGTTCACAAGAGTATTGCAGTGTTTGACAAGCTTCCGGGATCAGATAACGAAGCGATGGCGAAATAAACGAAAGGCGGGTTTGTCAGATGTCAGACCCCAGAATACAGGAGTCTTGCAAGCACACTGTTGGGTAAGTGGCACAAAGTGACATAAACTCAGCGAAACTCAAGTTGATCACTTGCGAAGTAGGTTGTACAGCAGCTTTGCAGCTCAAGCTCGCTCGTGATTGCAGGAAGGCAAGGCAAGATGGCAGGCTGGACGTGTTGACTGTGACGTCCAAAAGCCCACCTAGCAGAGCCATAGCAACCAAGCTGTATGTTATCACGGCCTTAGTTGGCGGATCCAAGGCAGGTAGCAATCAACAATAACATCCCTAGCGCGGATATTGGCTAATTGTATAATGAACTACTCGTGCCACCAGCTGGCAAAGAGGGTGGTTCAGAGGTAGACGTGGCTTTCCTGTGGCTAGTGGGGGCTAGTTGATGTGAAGGGGTTGTGGGGTTCGTCCATTGGAGCTAGGTCAACAACAATCACGCAGTGTCACGGTTTCGCCAGTTTGGCTGCTGGCACTTCTCTCCGCGGCGGCTGCCGAACCTTCTTTGCGAAGCAATCGGACTTTTGGCGCCATGTCGAAGGATTTCGGGCTCAAATGGAGTGTCAGTGTTGTATGTGCTTGTGCACTGGAAAAAGGATGTTTGAGAAATCACGAGCATGACATGCATGTTTGACTTGGACATGAGCAAGGGCAGGTTTCATCCGCAGGCGCCTCAGCCAAACTCGCTACGCTTCGCTCCAGTGTGGAAAGCTTGCTTCGCCCGCGCAGCCATTCGGTCGGGCGTTGACAGTGGCACCGGAGCCCTTTGGTTCGTTGCTTGGGACCTTGACGCTGGCCGCTCCGCTCGCTTGCTTGGTTTTGCTTGGTTCCTTTTTTGCGCGACTTGCTCTTCGCCCCTGAAGAGGAGATCGGTGATCCCTGCGGGCCCCCCGGTTTCGATTCGGAAGGTTGAGAGTAAGCAGGGCTTCATTTGGCTGGTTGTGGCCTCCTTTCATTTGGGCAAGCGCCTGGACGGGAGAACAGCTGGTTGAAGGAAGTTGGAATTTACACCTTTTTGCTGCTTCACAAGTCTCGAAGAGACGCATCGAAGCTGCGAGGCATGGCTGACGAGAAGGATTCAAATGCTGGAGCTTGGAGCCGAGTCCCAACATGGGACGGATCACCCCAGACCTGGAGAAGCTTCAGGAAAGACATAATGTCTTGGTGGTTGGCCGGACTTGACATCCAATCCACCAAAAAGTACAATCTAGCTGCAAGATGGCTCTTGCAGCAGTCCGGAGTGGTTCGACAGAGAGGAGAAGAATTTGATCCAGCAGAGCTGGAATACCAGAAGGAGGTCAAGATGCCCAATGCTGAGACCGGCGACGACGAGATCGTGACCCCAGAAGATCCCTTGAGCGGCATCAATCGCCTTCTTCGAGCACTTGAGGAGATGACAGGTCGCACCTCGCTCGATAAGCGAGGAGAGCTCCGGAACGTCTTCTACCTGGAGCTGAAAAGAAGGTCAGGTGAGCGGATCTCAGAATTCACCACGAGGTTTCGAGGGCTCATCGCCGAGATGAAGTCGGAGGGTGGGGAGGTGGCAAAGCTGGCTATGACTAGACTGCACTTCTCTCGTGGTCTTCGCAAAGCAGAACTGGCAAGATCTCGCTCGACTACCATGGAGGCAGCACCAACTCCAGGGTCCATTTGCTACTTCTATCGCCCTCTCCGGTACAACAACAAGATGTCTCAGAGCCGGAAGAAGCTCACCTTAAAGAGATGGCATGGTCCTGCGATGATGGTGGCTATGGATGGCCACGCCTCCGTGTTCCTCTCCTACAAGGGACAACTCACAAAGTGTGCTCTTGAACATGTCCGCCTGGCCTCAACTATGGAGCAGATAGCTTCCGGTGCTTGGTCGGAAGCCATCAAGGAGGCGGTGGACGCAGCTCGACATGAGCAAGCCCTGAGGAATCCTCAGAGTGATGGCAATCAAGGGTGGCAAGCACCTCAGCAGCCGGTCCTACCAGAGACCCCTGTGGCAGCTGGAAATCCTTCGACGCCCGCATTTCTCCCTCCGTCCAATGCGACAATGAATGCTGATGACAACCAGTTGGAAGGCAGAGATCTACCTCCTGTACAACCTCAAGAGCTTTGGCAGATGATGGTTCCCTCCAATGCTCACGCTTCTTCTCAGGTAGACTCCTCATTGCCGTCGAGACGGGCTAGTGATTTTTCAGATACGCCCTTTCCTCAAGCTACCAGACTGGCTATGGGAAGACGACCTTCTGGACTGCCTTTGACCTCAGTTTGTGAGAGGGTCCGAGAAATTGAAGGAAGCTTCAAACGTCCAGCAGAGCTGGATGCTGAAGCTCTTCGTGGACAAGGCCATGAACAAGGAACTCCTCGAGCAGAGGCTAGCAGTTCGATGCCCGCTGAAGTGGATGAGGCCCTGGTGACTGAGGCAGTTGACGTCATCCAGACGGAGCTGAAGAAGGAGAATCTCCACCTACAGGCTGAGCTGGACAAGAAGTCTCCACTAGATGCTGAAGTACCAGATCATGGCACCTGGCATGGGAAGTGGTCCCTGCCGTCAAGATCGGAATGGTTGGCCCATCAGAAACTGGGTCTGAGCTGGCCCAATGGAAGTCAGCCCGATCATGAAGTCCAAGCAGTACAAGCAAACCGCAAGGAGTTTCGCTGGAAATCAATGACCGGTGAGGAGAAGAAGGCCTTCGCGGAAGCTGCTGCGCAAGCCTGGTCGGTATGGGAGGAGAATGCCGCAATCGAAGTCTTGGCGCCAGAGGAATCAGAGCGTGTGAGAAGGCGGCTCCTGGCCAACAAAGAAGGCAGCAAGATTTTGACTCCAAGGTATGTTTTCACCGACCGGCATGAAGGACTTCGAACAGCTCTCAACCCCTTGCCGCTCAAGGCCAGAGCTGGAGTGATCGCGCCGGGCTACAAGGACATCTTCTCCTACAACCTCAGGAAAGACGCCCCTACAGGATCTCGGGTGTCTCAACACTTGCTCTTCACATTCACAGCCAGTAACAGCACCTCCACAACGCCGCAGGAGTTGAAATGGAAGATCATGTCCGCCGATGTGAAGTCTGCCTTTTTGAAGGGAGATGCCTATGTGGATGGACAACGGGAGCTCTTTCTGGAGAATGTGAAGGGAGAAGAACCCAAATTGCCGTTTGGGAGCTGCTTGGCAAAGATTCGCAAGGGAGTGTTTGGACTCTCGGATGCGCCTCGCCAATGGTACTTGCGTCTCAACAAGTCCTTGCAAGCGGCAGGATGGGAGAGAACAGTTTTTGACTTTGCATGCTGGCTCAAATGGTCAGATGACCGCAAGAAGCTTCGTGGCATCATCATCTCCCACGTTGATGACTTGTTGCTGGGTGGTGACACTACCGCCCAAGAGAGCCTCTTGACCATTGGGAAGGAGCTGGGCTTCGGGAGCGTGGAGTATGATGATTTTGTTTACTGCGGGAAGAGGATCCAAATGAAGCCTGATGGCTCCATCACAAGGCCTACCACGACAACCTCTCGCCCGTGGAGATTCCTTTGAGCAGGAGGAAGACACCCGAAGCGGAGCTCAGTGAAAGTGAGCGCAGACAACTCAGGGCCGTGTTGGGTTCCCTACAGTGGCTGGTCGCACAGGTCCGTTTCGATCAAGGCTACAGTCTCAGTACTCTTCAAGGTGAAAAGCCTGTGATTGGGACACTTCAGAAAGCAAACCAGTTGGTGAAGGAGTTCAAGCGGCGCCCCGATTTTTCTTTGGTGTTTCAGGCTTTGGATTTGTCGAAAGCTGGCATCATGGTGGTCTCCGACTCCTCTCTGGGTAACGCGCTTCGAGAAGGAGGATGTGAAGGCGATGTGCTGGAGAAACTTTACAGCCAGTCAGCCTACTTCGTGATCATTGGTGACCACAACCTGATGAATGGCCGGGAAGGCTGTTTCAATGTTGTGGATGCCCGATCGCACAGACTTCCAAGGGTCTGCAGATCGACTTATGGAGCTGAGCTCATGGGCGTTGAAGAGGGCATGGATATGGGCATCTTCTGCCGCGGCGGCCTGGCCACCTTTCTTGGCCTCCCGACTGGCCGACGAGATTCCCTCAAGGTGATGGAGGAAATCCCCATGGTCTCCGTCACGGACGCCAAGGACACGTATGACCGCGGGAACTCCGACTGTCCTACGTATGGAGCTCAGAAGTCCATGGCCTTTGCCGTAGCATGGGTGAGACAGACCCTCAATGGCCACAACAGCAGCCTGAAATGGACGGCGACGGCCAATATGTGGGTGGATGCCGGGACAAAGCTGATGCCTACCGACCACATGCAGGACATCTTGTCCAAAGGCAAGTGGAGCTATGTCTATCACCAGGACTACGTCAAGCAAAGTCCCAAGAAGAAAACGATCGGAAAGATCGAAATGGATGAGCTGCCTGGTGAACATTTGGATGAGCGGTCGCAATTGTTTCAATTCATTTTGAAGCTGAGTAGCCTCCCCGGCTGGCATGAAAGGCCTGACATGGCGGTGCACGTGGCCTATGGGGCCAAATCCTTCCGGGTGCCAGATGGCCGTTTTGGGGCCAACAAGTATCCAGTGCGGTCCACCTTCGGAAAATTTGATTTGAAGGATGGCCGAAGTGTATGGAGGCAACTTGAGAGGGGTGCGAACCTCTCCGACCTGGCGAATCGTCAGGGCCTGTTGCCGAAGCCTGCTGGATGTTTGATTTCCTTGTTCATGTCTCAAGCAAAGAAGAAGATAGATCAGCTGAGAAATCACGAGCATGACATGCATGTTTTACTTGGACATGAGCAAGGGCAGGTTTCATCCGCAGGCGCCTCAGCCAAACTCGCTACGCTTCGCTCCAGTGTGGAAAGCTTGCTTCGCCCGCGCAGCCATTCGGTCGGGCGTTGACAATGTTAAAAATGAAAAGGCGATGTCTTGGCAAGCTGAAGCTGTAAAGCATCTCCAAGCTAATCAACCCATTAGGGTCAATTAGGGTCACTTACAGATTGACCCCGATGTCCCACTTCCAAGGAAAGTGCATATTCATTCGACAGGTGACAGGACATAAATCTACGAAAATTCATGCAAGGAGCTGCTCTGAATGGTTGACAGTGTCAAACTGCAGACAGGGTATGCCACACCATGTGTGGCCTTCCCGTGGCTAATACCTCCAATAACACCACCAGCGAGCGCTGTTGCTCAAGTCCAGGAGGCCCCAGTCCACTTGGCTTGGACCCACATGCCTAACTTTTGCTTGTCCGCGGACGCCAACCAGCTGGAAAACGGTGTCAAGGCGCAACACACTAGAACAGTAGGACTGGTCACTGGCCGGATTTTAGCAGATCAGCCACCATCCTCAACAAATGGTATTGATGTTGTTTGCCTGGTTTGATTCTGCATCCATAGCTCCTCTAGGCAAGTTGCAAGATTGTGGAGTGGATCATATGAAAGCTTTCTTGCGAAATTCTGATAGTGATTGTCATTTGGATTGCCAGGATTGTTGCGATTGCTGCGGTGGTGTCCCAACCGGATAACCGATAACTGCCTTCAGGCTACCAATTCAAGGGCTATGTTCCAGTCCAGTGCAGGTCCACCTCTGGGAATGTGACAACACCTGGCAGAGCAAAGGGCAAAACTTTGTGGTGGATGCCGAAAATCGATTTCGCATGCATGCGAACACCGACTATTGCCTTGTGGTTGATGGAGATCACTTTGTCAATGGAGCCAAGATCCAACTTTGGAAGTGCAACTCGGACATGTAGGAACCAAGTAGGAGAATCAAACCAATGTTTGGTCAGACTGGCCGCCAACCACGCAGATTCCTTTTAAAGATCTTGTCTGGGACTAGGGCCTTGGGTGAGATATGGTCAACAACAAAGACCTACCAGAAAAACTTAGCTGTTTTACAATTGATTCTTGCTTTTGGGATTGATCTTCTGGATTGATTTGCCCGGCGCTTTAAGTTGCGCTTTGATAGCATTTTGGGAATGAGATTCCGACAGAAGTGTAAACCCACTTTACATAAACATGTCGCTTGTTGCTAAGTTACCAATTCATTGTTGCGTTCTGCACCACAGGAAAAGAGTCCGAAAGGAATCATTTCTTGGTCAGGCAGCATACAAAAAGCTTTCGGACGAAAAAAGAATCTCCTTCGGCGCTTTTGTTGCTCTCCAAGACTTGACTCTTCTCCAAATGTCTTTGAGGCAATGAGAAGAACCCCAACCAACGGCGGCTTGGATATGTTGAGAAAGAACTTAACTATATATGTTTTTTTGGTCTTGAAACGACCCCCACAGCACAGGAAAGCTCCACGAAGCTGTTGGCAGGTTAGTGGCGTTAGTGAGCTGATAGCATGACTCAGCATGACCCCTTGTTTCTGCCATTTTCATCCCTTCCCTGCACCTGCCTGGTAGATAGGATGACAAAGTCGACAAGCATTTTAACAGTTCAAGCTGCAGCTGAAACAGATGATGATGAAATGTAATGGTAAACATTGTGCACAACTCAGGTGGTACTCCCAAATGACAGGTCAGATCAGTAGCTCAAGCGAGCCCTCAATGTGCTTGGTCATTGATGGCTGCGCGGCGAAAAGAATTGAGAAGACTGGAGAATAGCATGCACGTGTTGTGGCTCCAAGCTTTGGCAGAGGTACCCTTTCACCGCCTAGTTTCGCTACAGTCACAGTGTTGTTACAGTTATGCATCGTTGGTGAGCTCGTTTTTGTGAACCCTTTCAGTGTTTTGAGGCCTTGGTGTTTGAAAAATAGGTGAATTACCTGTGTTTTAGGAAGACAAACAGCATTTTACACTGCAAATCTCAGTATTTCTACCCTGTTTCCGTGGTTGTTTGTTTCGACGGCCGAAGTAGTTGCGCGAAAGAGGGGTCCCAAACACTCCAAACACTCCAAATCTCTGTGCGGCGGTGGTTGCCGAACACCACACAAACGAAACAACAAAACCAAATACCAAATCCTCGAAACATCCGATAACGTTATCCTCTCAGCAAAAAAATGCAGTGGATAAGACATGATAAGATACAATGTCGGAAACGAACAAATACCTTGTCAATACACGTCATGAACAGACATGAACGATCACATGTAACAAAGTGATATGTGTTTAGAAGAGGTGCTATATATTCTTTGTTGTGAGAATAGCCTGAGAATCTTTGACGAAATCATTTGACGTTCATGTGTTGCTTTCACATTTGGAGCCAGTGTTAGGAAAGCCAGTCAATGGACTGAAAGGAGTATGGGGAAGTGAACAGAACATCTTGGAGCTCTCCAGATTGATCTTTTTGGGGAAGACTGTAGCAGAAGAATGGGCTCAAATTCTTGGTGCAAAGGCAACAAACATGATTGGTTGCAGGGACCACTTCCACATTTGCAAGCACTTTCAATTGAAGGGCCTCCTAGAGGACAAATATTATATATGCGTGTTTGGTGGCCAACTTATGTAGTGGATCTCTCAGTTTGTCATACAGAAGAGGTTAGTAGCACTACCTGCAACAAGTAAGAATCCCCTGTTACTTGTACCCGAAGCTGCCGCGGGACATAGCTTGCAAATGCTTGCAATCAAGTGTCAGCCAAGAACAGGTTCACCCAACTGCATGATGGCAAGCTTCAACTACAGCGCCACACCGTCTAGAGCTCTTGTCCTTCAATTGTTTCATCAGTGACATTTGTGATAAAGCATCAAAACGCGTCCGATGCCTACCACCCAAACTGAAAGAAAAGTGCCAAAGTGGTGAAGGTGGTGAAGGCATTGATCAGGCATGGGAGGGCAAGGCGGAATTGGGCATGCCAAGGAAACAACGCCTTCAATGGTGCCAAGATCCAGATGTGGTCATGCGAAGGGAATTCACAGCTGAAGGCGGGAGGGCGGGCTCCCTTCCAAGTCACACAACCCAAAGCAGAGGACTGACCGACTATACTCAAGCAGGTGCTCCAAGCATCTCCAACCGTAGCTTCCACGACAAAACATACTGTTTGAGGAGAAGACCTTCGAGCGCAAACAAGTGCAGTTTGAATTGCACATTCATGAACTTTAGGTTGCATAAGAATTTGCCAAGTCTCCATCAGTCAGGAGTGGATGAGGCTCGTGCTTGGCCCCGGTGCGAAAGTCTTCGGGGTTCCCAATGAGGATGGCGCGTGCGAGGCCACGTGATGAACAGACAGACAGGCAGGCAGCCAGGCAGACAGGCAGCCAGGCGGCCAGGCAGCCGGACAGCCAGACAGACAGAGAGAGAGAGAGAGAGACGAAAAGCCAAAGAAACACCAGCTCCAGGTTTTCAGAGTACAATGTACTAGTAGGTCAGCACTTCTTCTGGTCTTTGGGGGGCTTTGCATGGACTTCTGCAGGGCGGGAAGTTGTGAAGCTCTGTTGGTATTTTCTGGGGCAAGGAAGATTGTCAGTTTATTTTAGTTAGTGCAAATTGAATATTGCACGGAAACAGTGCTTTTGAACAAGTGGTATTTACCAGGAGTTTACAAGACCTCCCCAAACCGTAATTCTGCAGATGCGTACAGCCACAAAAGCGTGGGAGTACAGGGGTTGCCCGCTTTCCCTGCGAGGCTCCCTTTGAGGCCCTGGATAGTTCACTGAAAGCGTGTGTAGACGCCGCTGAAGCAATGAGGCAGGGCAAATGATACAGAAACAGAGGAGAGAGAGAGAGAGAGATGGCCTTTGACTCAATTTTATCCCTTCGAGGAATCCGCCCAACGCTCAGATATCAGACAGTAGTGCCTTTTGTGCATTCCCATCCACCAATTTGCCAAACGTCGTGGTTGAGCCCAAGGTTCTCGTGCTGGTTGTTGTGGATTCCCAGGTGTAGTGCTACAAACTTTGTACATTTTTGTACAGCCCCTCAGTTGTTCACAAATCTGCAGGATGAATGCGACCGAAGCAGTAAGATTATTGTTTCACTTAAACCGCTCCAAAGTCTTCATAGTGCTTACAGTGCAATGTATCAAACCACCCCTCTGCCACAAGAAGGAAAGTGCCAAGAGTGGATATGTCAAGTGAAGCCAAGTAGGACGATTCTCAAAGCTGCGAAGCGTTTCAGGCCAGGCAGTGGCTGCTATTCCAGTACCTTGGCAAACTCAGTTTTGAGCGGAATCGAACAAAAAGGAATTCATCCTCACACTTTCTCCAATGGCTTCAGCATGCTTCAGCCACCATTTATTCGGCTGCTCCGATAAATTCGAGCCTGTAGGCCAACATCACATGAGCTGTAAGTTGCCTGGTCCTCTCCCAACAGTCATTAGTGGAACCTTGACTTTTTGACCACAAAGGGTCAAACAAAGGATTTGGAAACTCAATCGAGTATGACTCACGCCTCGCTTCGGTTTGGAAACCCTGAGGTCAGTGGGAAAGCGTGGTCACGACTGATTACCAGCCCACTTGGCCCAGAGGCGGGCACTGAGCAAGAGTTTGTTCAACTTCCAAGTCACTGACATCCTCTTAAAATGGACATTGTTGGGATATGTTGCGATCCTCACTGACATCGTGTGGGTCCACACGAAATCGCCTAAGTTCACAATTGTGGAGCCTGGTTCACAAATTCCTGGAATCACAAAACAAGCCACAAGGAATTGCAAGTGGACGGAATTCATTAAACCTCAAGAAAATTGTGAAGAAAAGAGAGTGAATGTGACAAAGTGGTAACGACTCGTTAATGGCATTAGGCGATTCAACACGATTCGATTTGTACGAATCTTGGGGCGTTTTTGTTTTTGTGCCTTTGCTTTGGAGGCTGCTACTTCTACGCAGCCTGCCAGGGCGGGTGTGGGTTGTACTTTAATCCATCTGGACAGGGAAAGAGCTGTCCCAGCCAGGGGGATTGCATGAGCATTTCTGTTATTTGCCAGCTCCAGCAGTGAGCGTTTTTTTTGGGCTTTGCCGGAGAGCGAGTTGCTCCAAGGCTTATAACGCCGTTTTGACTTTGTTTCGCACAGCTGACTTTGGATCCCAGCTCTTGGTTGATCCCTTAGACGAAATGGTCCTATTGGATCCTTCCTGTCCAGCAAGCAAACAAGGCCACAATAGGCCACATTGGTTCCTAGACCCAAGTGACCCCAAATGACCTAAATATTGTTTTCGACATTGAAACCATTTGAACCCGTCAATCAGTTTTGAGATCATCCAAGTTCTCGTGCGAGGTCACGAGATGTCGCTGTACAGAGTAGACGGTTGGGATTTGCCTTCAAGATCCTTCAAGTAAAGAAGAGTGACGTGTCAGAGTAGAGTGAAGACTGGGAAAGCAGAAAAAGTGTTCTGTGAGTTCTTGAACAGTCTCAGGCTAGCGCTACACTGTGAAGATAGTGATCGCAGGGCCTTTTTTCTTGGAACATGCCACTTTAGCATACTTTAGCCATTTCAAGAGGATTGCCGTCACGGTACCGGAGTGAAGTCTGAAGCTTAAAGCTGGACTACGAGCTTCTCAAACGGATTATCAAAATTTATCAAACAGGGGTGGTTCGATGTGGTTCGGGTCATTCTGGATTGGAACTGTTTGCCCGTGGGGAGGCTTCTGCGCCCTTGTCATGGAGAAGTTTCATTTCATGATCGTGGGCATCCCACTGTCCCCTTTGCACAGTATTGTTTCGATCGGGCAGGCGCACAGCACAAGTGCGCCAGAAACTGTGAAAGTGATATATACCCTGCTGCAAAACGGTATGTGCTAAGCCAAATGAGCGCTCAAATGAGCCAAATGCGTAATCTGGGACTTATATATGTTGTGTTTCGACTGCTTAAGTTGCAAGTCCAGCCTTGTCGCCAGGAGCTTTGCTTACGCGGACACAATGTGACGGTCTTGAGCTTTGCAGAACGAGGAGAAACACACATGCTCCAGAAATGACACATTTTGTTAGCTGTGCTATGGGGCGCCAGCTGTGCCGATTCTGTTTTGGCAGGAAAGAAAAAGGTGGAGAAGTATTCTTCGCGCTGCAGCTTGGAAGTTCTGAGCAGTGCTGGAGGATTCGGGTTTTGTACATCACCCCATTTATTTTCTTACTTTTATTTCTTACGTGAAACCAAAGCCGGGCAAAGCCTGCATGTAGCAGAAGACAGGAGTAACGCTTAGGGGGCTTGGTGTTTATTGCGTCAGTAATCGGTGTTCTTCCAGACAGTCAACTTGTACGGTGTTTTGTCTACCAGCAATCGGTGTTTTTTGCGTCGGTGCCCCAGCCACGGTGTTTTTTGCGACAGTTGGTCGGTGTTTTTTGCGCCGGTACCACTTTAGCTTGTCATCGTGGAATCTTGTAGCCGAGGCTGCCTTCTGATCACTTTTTTCGAACGCCAGCGGCCAGCAGCTCAAATAACGTGCCTGGCTGTTTCTGGAGTTTGGTCGCGGAGCTTTGGTCGCGGCCAAGGCTGCGCTGCCATCCTCCTCGAGTTTGGTCGCGGAGCTTGGTCGCGGAGCTTGGCGCCCAGCGGCTTCTCACTCAGCGGTGGGGCTTTGCTCGTTCTTGTTGCCAAGGCTGCGCTGCCGTCATCTTCGCGTTGGGTCGCGGAGCTTTGGTCGCGGAGCTTGGCGCCCAGAGGCTTCTCACTCAGCTTTGGGGCTTTGCCAATTCTTGTTGCCAAGGCTGCGCTGCCGTCATTTTCTTCGAGTGCCAGCGGCTCAGCCGGTGCGAGTCAAGCGTTGTCGTTTTTCCGCTTCCCCCGGTTGCCCTCTGCATGTCCGTTGGTGCCTCCCTTGCTGCAAGTTCTGGTTCTAGAGTTTGTTCTGTTCCGGGGCTGCAGATTCCAATGCCGCACTCTCAGAAGTTTCTTGCAGTTGCTCTTGCTTCTCCCTGACTTCCGTTTTCCGTGCCGGTGCTTTCCACCAGGCTCCCCTGATGGCGCTGCGTTGGGCGGACGATCCTGACTGCGATTTGGAGGCCCGTTGCGCTGCAAACTTCTGCTGCGATGACTGCGCGCGGCGCTGCCAGGCGTTCGACGTGGACAGGTTTCTCCGCAAGTTTTGGGGCTGCAGCCTCACCTTGAAAACCCCTGTCCGGGCCTCAGTGCGTGCACGCCTGGACCGCTTTTGCTACAGAATCGTTTGCCAGGTGGGGTGGAT